TGGACCCACATAGCACTCTGACACATGCTCCAGTTGATAAGACACAGACAGGAGAAAGAAGAAGAAGGGGAAGGAGAAACAGTTCCACCCAGATGCTGTGGGCTCTGCAGAGAGTGGAAACTCTCATGAAAGGAGTTGTATATTTGGAGAAGACGTATCATTAAGATAGGCTCGGGGAAGGGAGGGAAGGATGCGCAGAAACTTTCCATCTGCTCTTTTAAAGAACATGTTATTGCTTTTCGCACTGAAGGCCTTCCTTAACTCCGGCTCTCCCTCCCTCGTCCAACCCGTCGAACCGCAGCCAGAATCACTCAAAGACAATGGTGAAAGCCGGCGAGTCGTTGCCGGGCGAGAAGCTAAATCACAGTGTTTTGTCAGATAGGAGCTAATTTGGAGGCTTAGCATTGAGGAGGACAAAAACTATTTTGTCCTCCTCAATGCTTGCTTGGCTTCCTGGCCAAGTTGCGCTCGTCACTCCGCTCTGTTTATGTTTGCTTCCTTTCTTTTTTCTGTTTTTTTTTTTTTTTTTTTAGGAAAGCTGTTATGGAAAATTAGAAGCAGGATCAGAATAAAGAAAAAACACTGAAGCACAGCTATTACTTAAATCTTATTTTGCTTATTTGCTTCCAGTGACCTAGGCTCTTTTAACCTTTGGGATCCCAATAAATAGGCGTTTTTGAGGGCATTCAAACTCTTTTTGGATTATAGTTGTCATTTCCACTTATTAAGTCTGACTATGGCAGCATTTTGTGTTGAAAATCTGTAAAGTGCACAAGTAGGATGGAGAACAGATACAACGCTGTTTTAAGTCTGTGGTTCATATTAGATTCGGCATACAAATAAAAAGAAACAAGCGTTTCTCTCCTAAATAAGACAATCTCTTTTAATTCACTTGTGACATGTTGTGAAAGTGATTGCTTTTGTTCAAGATGCTGTTCATTCATAATTGTAAAGGGATGCGCGAGCATGCGCTGTCATTTATTCATAGTTTTACTCATTTATCTGACCTTTTACGATTAAACTTCAACAAAGGGCAACATCTACCACTGCTGTCTGAAAGGTTCGTGTGCAATTTAGCCTTTACTTTGTGCTATGTGCTGTTTTGTAAGAGTTATGCTTAGCTTAGCATTGGGACAATTTATATCCATGGCGAAACCAGAAGATCACTTCCTTCATCTGAATATCCTACCTATTTCAAATGAAAGGCTGTAGATGTTTGCATTAATCCTTTTGTTACAATATCCCAGCTGTCCGCTATTACACAGTTATTACACAACTTCAATCTCACATAGTATCGCTCAAAAAGTGTGTCATTAAACTAAAATATTTCAGAGCATAGGTACCCAAACGACGCATTTTGTCCTGATTAACATTCAAATGATAATTTGTTCACAGTAACGACATTAAAGACGGCAAACTAAAGCCATTTATGAATATATTTACAAGCTGCCTGTCATGTAAACTAAAACCATGAAGTAATACAGCAGCTTAATGGAAGCCAGGTATGAAATAAATTTAAAAAACGTAATCTGCGATGAAATAAAAGACATGAAACGAGACTTCCACAGGTAGCACGTGTTTATGAAAAATCTGCTGAGTAAGCAGATTACTGGCACGACGCGCGTCGACGCCAGTGAGTGACGTAGCATCGATGTGCGCGTTTCCCACGAGGTAGGACGGATTTAAGGGTAGCGCAGGACAACTGAACACCGGTTCTGAACGGGATAGTTCCTCAGTGCGCCAAGAGTTTTTTCAAATGCAATCCCAGAATATGCACAGCGCTTTGTTCAGGAAAGTGTTTTCAGTGTGTTTTTGGCTTTAAGACGATTTTAGAAATAAAACAAACACAAGAAACTGCCAACACGTTAACTTGTGTGACCTGGAGTGTAATTTTTATACTGATCACAGAGTCCTTAAAATACAGTTTGTGAAGTTGACAAAGGGCAAAGAAAAACAAAAACCAAAAAAACAGGGGGCCCTCATGCTTTTATAAAATTCTGACCTTGTGCATTTCCCATGAACTCGGTGTCATGCATCGTCTTGTCTCGTGAGCTCATGCATTGTCACCAGCCAGTCTAAAATAACTCCCTCCTCACATCGGCTTCCTTCTTCTTTTCTTGACGTCGCTCGAAAGCGCGCTCACCCAGCCAACCCCCGTTTTCCCACTGCCTAAAATTCTGATTATATGACTGTGACCAGTGTTGTGGATCAGGTTTTGTGTGCCTGCCTAGCAGCTACGGCGAGGGGAGCGCTGAGAAAGGACGCGCTTGTGCTGAGCCGTGGCCGTCGGCGCGGCTGAAGCCCCTTCGGTATCACGAGGAAGACACTCCTGCCTTCAGCTCCGCGGCACGCAGAATAGACTCATTGATCAAGTTTGATCAGATCTCCTTGGTGAAGAAGGGAAATTTTTGAAGGCATCCTTTTTCACATGATTTGTTGACATTAATATGTCAGCGGAGAATTTATGCGATTCCTGTTTGCAAGCCAGGAGGGCACTGGGACCTCCACAATGCCCAGTCTTGTATTGGTAGATTTAACGGATCCTTTGTTCGCCGATGCTCCTCGTTTCCACAGAGATTTTGTCAAATTAATCTCATTAGTTTTTATGACATCTTGCTGACAGATAAACTGATAAATAGATACACAGCCGATCTGATCAGCTTCAAACGTGTTCTCCCGCGCTCGCACGTACGCAGACCTAAACGACGACGGGGTAATCTCTGCAAACGCACACTTCCAGAGGAGCAGAGAGAAAACGGTTGATGAAGTGGACACACATTTGGCCAGAGGCGACAATGCAATTATAACTTGGCGCATGAAATTAGCCTCCTTGTGTTTCCATTCCCCGCAACCAATCACATGGATAAGGGAATGCTGGGGGAAAAAAGAAAAAAAGCGAGTCTCCTCTCACGCTCTCTCCTCCTTGCTCAGCATTAAACACAATCCTGGTCATTATGCGCTGGAAAAACTGTAATAAAAAAAATGAAAAAGCTGGCGCCAGACTGATTTTTCTTGTCTGATTGACTATCATGAGTCCGTCGCCTTGTTATGCACACTGCAAACACCGGCCACATGTGTGGTGTCAGTGTTGGTCGCCCTATTTAAGTAATTGATGCCAGCAACAGAAGTTATGCTCTTTTTTTGTGTGTCTTTTCTAGGCTTTTCAGTGACATTTATTGGTTTCATAAAAACAAAATGTTTGAGTAAGTCAAACCCTATGATTGGTAAAATGTTTTTTAAATTATGTAAATGGATACACAATCATTTCCAGTGTGTTCAGACACACTGGTAGTGAAACTGCTTTGCTTCGTTCACCCCTGGCGTTTCTTCATCGTCCCTCCTCTTCTCTTTTTGTGGCCTGCTTACGGCACGGGCCCGGACTCATGAACCGGACATTGTGCTGCACGAGAAAGAGTCCAAGCCGCCACGACACCACACGCTCTGATGTAACTTCACATGCTTTTTTTCAGTGCACATCCACATGTAAACAGGCGGCTCAGCGTTAACCGGTTCGTGGTCGGGGCGACTCGTGAAGCCACTTTGAGACAGGCTCAGTTCAGCTGTCCAGTTGGAAACAACAATATGCATCCAGGTTTCCTTTTTGCATCCAAAAATAAGCCAGCAACCTAAAGTTGATTCATTTAGTTCCAGTTTATGAGTCTGACCGGCCAAAGTGTTCACGAAAGAGACTAGAGCTGCATTTCCACTGACTTTAAAAGTGCGCAAATTGAAATTGCGCAACTAAATTCGCTTAATGGAAAAAGGCGGATTTTGAAAGAACTCGTGTTTTTCGATTCAAACATTTTGGCCCTGGGCTGAGGGGATGTTTCGGCTGCATCAAAATCAGTGCGTTTCGTACAACTTCAGTGGAAACGCTTGTTTTTTCCTCCTGTAACCCGATGTTACCACTAACGACGGAGAAGATGGCAGGATCTGGGTGGAGGATGATGATGGTCTGGCATGTTTTTCACTGATTTATAATGCGAACAAACTCATTCACGTGATCTCACGCTGAATTTTGAATTTAAATGGAAACACAACAATTGCGAAAATGTGTTTTTTTGTCTGATATTAAAGTTTTGCGCACACTCATACTGGAAACTTCTTGGAGTGTTTCTCTGTGTGTGGGAATGTGAGACTTTTAAGAGATCATCAAGGTAAAGGAACATTACAGTACTGCAGCAGACAAACCCTATAATGTCGAAGTCTTTTAATATTGCAAGACATTGTGCATTGGAAAAACCACAGACTCTCGCTCCTAAAATCTTTATTAAAAGTATTAAGAGCTCGCTTGGATTTGTTGAACTGAAGTCATTTAACCCTTTAAACTGGATTAAAAGCCTCACTGAGAAGATATTATGTATTTCTAGATTAAATACATTAAATACAAGAGATCCTCTCTTTCTGTTTTAAGATGAAGGATAGCAGAAGGATGCGTTTGATATTCCAAAGTGAAAATGTATCAATCTTGGCAACAAAAAAAGAGCAAACTTAACGATTAAATCAGATCTATAACCAGCGGGAGTGAAGACAAAGGATTACGTGAGTGTTAACCGTCTTCATTCCTCTGGGTTGACGCTACATATTCTCGTCTCACTGATTACATATGCAGCGGGGTGAAAGGGGGGCCGTCGATGCGAATATATTTGTGTAAGAGGCTGCCTAATTATCAGAGCTGGTTCTCCACTTCACTTAACTTTCTAATTGGCTTGCCTTTTTGGCTGCCATTAATTACAAGATTTCATATTCCATTAATGGATTGTGTGTGTGTGTGTGTGCGTATTGACGCGCTCATACTCACACCAACTTACAGTATAAATCCAGAAACAGACACAAGCCGATCAGACTGAACGCACACGTCTCATTTCTACCTGCGTTTCTTTTTTCCTTCTTTGCTCGTGTGATTGTTCGCATCGAGGTCCTCAACGCAGACGCTTCAACTAGAAGCTTCGTCAGTCGATTTCTGGTTGTTTATGTTGTGATTCTTTCTCCTCCCTCAGCATCCCTACCCCTCAGAAGAACAGAAGAAGCAGCTGGCGCAGGACACAGGACTCACCATCCTACAAGTGAACAACTGGTAAGTCGCTTCACAGTTTACATGCAGTCGATTTTTTTTGTTGTTTTGTTTTTTCAGGGTGGGACCGCCTGGGGCTATCCTAGTTCTTAATGATTGGAATTAATGCCTCCCCTCCTCCCCTACTTTTCATCCCTGTCTTGCTGAATTCCTCCTCAACCCAGATCAATCCATGTGAGGAGATATGGCCTGGAGTGGTTTTCTCTCTCTCTCTCTCTCTCTCTCTCTCTCTCTTTTCTTTTTTTTTCCTCAAAAAGCAACTGCTTAACTCAGCCCCGACATGAGCATCCATGTAAATGAACTATCTTTTTACAAAAATCCAATAACATCATTCATTATGTGCAAGTTAGATGAGGATGATCACTTGAAAAGCAGAAGCTTACAGGGTAATTATAGGTGTTTGGCCCAATCATTTCAGGGTTTACGGATTCTTTTTTAGCCTTACTGTAATTAACGTTCGTTTTAATCTTTGTGCTTATTTTGTCTAAGTTGATTGCAATATTTCAGCAGAATGTTAAAATCTAGGATTAGGTTTACTCATAATAGCAAAAAGTACTTATTGCTTTGATTTGTTGTTCAATGTAGGGACTTTTGTCATTTTTCTAAGCGGTACATGCAGCTGTTGGGGGAAGATGAGACATTATGTTGGGGTCACTAGATGAAATTAGTTTTTATTTTATTCTACAGTTTGTGTTTACCGGTATAGGTTTTACAAACTGCATTTTAGTAACCAATCCAGAAAAATCTTAATGGATATTTCGCCATGACCGTCTCGTATCTCACCGGCCACGTTCACCAGATGTCTGTGTCACTACTGTAGCATTTGAAGCAGGACCGGCTAGTATCTAAACACAAACTCTGCATTGATGAAAACTCACCATGGCATTCCAGATGCTAGAAACTGAAAGTGAGACTGGTAGCATGACCTACTTTACGGCTTCTCTGACCGCCGTGAACGTCACGTCTTTCATCCCAATCGACGCACACGATTCATCCCGCATCAAAAGCAAGAGAAAACGTGAAAACTTTAAAAACTTTAAATTTGGCATCAATTCCTCATCTTTAGCGAGGCAACAGTATGAGAGCAACTTATGTATTTTAGATTGACAATACAAGTCAGGTGCTGATTTCATGCGTGCCTATATGATCTTAGGGTGTCTGAATTGTTTGTATCTCTTCTATTACTCTGTTATCTTTTTTCTTTTTTGACTTTTTACATTAAATATTGAAACTTAAACGTTTTGAAAGTTCTGGGAACTTCTTTAGTGCTATCTGTGTTGGTATGAGTGGTGTTATCAAGCTTGTTTTAGGGAACTGAAGAGATTTTCTACCTTCTTACTGTTTGCTTAGATCCTGGGGGCTAAACCCCCCCTTGTCCTTTAAACCCAGAGACGGCCCTGCTCGTTACCCAGCCCAAAGAGCAGTGCTCATTAACTGAACACTGGATCTGAACAACTACTTTTGCTACAAGAGTTTTCATTCCCCATTACATCAGAGCTTAAATGAACCAATATCACAAGATCTCATAGCTCTAGTATTTCAAATATTTTTGGAGCAACTTTAGTTTTTAAAGTCATCCTTGTTAACAAGGGGCCCCTCTTGGAAGTCTACAGCCTGCCTGCTAACCTGCCTCTGCAAATTACCGCTCTGCGAGTGCCAACTAGGCAGCTAATTACAAACAAGTGTGACTGGCCAGGCTCATAAAATAAGGTTGCTAACTATCCGTTTTAACCTTAGGTAACACTGTTAAAGGTAGAAAGGGGCCCTGTGTCCTCGCGCGGTCGGTCTTATCAGTGAGATAGCTATCAGCACGTGCTTAGCGTTATTAGCCGTGTCTAATTAAAGGGGCTGAAGCCCGGGTAGCCGAGGCACGGCCCTGGCAGAGCGCGTTTGATCTGCGCAGCCCTTAAAATAATCCTTGAAAGCGCCTTGTGAGGTGCGGGCATAAAAACGGGTGGAGGAGAGGCAAGAAGAAAGCGATGAGCGGACTGGCGAGAGTGAAAAATAGATGAAGATCAAAAAAAAAAAAGAGAGAAAAAAGCGTGAGATAAGGACAAGAAGGAGGGGAAAAGATCAGGCCTGATAACTCCCCCATTACCGTCTAATGATGTTAACTTTATTCCCAGCCATTGTTCGGTCCGAGACCTCAGAGACGTTAGATTGGATATGATGGAGGATTATAACAAACACAAATGCACCCCCCCCCCCCCTCACACACACACACACACACACTGCCTTCTGACCAAAGGGAATCCTGTTGAGGTTATCAATTCACGTAACCCCTCCAACCCCACCACATTTAATATCCAACGGAAGGAATCGCTTCTTACAGCGGTGATATTGTGAGTGTGTGTGGATGTGTGCGTGCGTGTGTGTGTGTGTGTGTGTGCAAGGGACAGATAGACTTACACAGTCACATGAACTGTAGCTTGGTCTCTTTACCTTGAGTGTGTGTTTGTTTTGTTGTTTGTAGGGGTATGGCAACAAACCCTGAAGGTTTGTGAGTGTGTGTCTGTGTGAGAGAGAGAGAAAGCAAGGCCACCACACACACTGTGCAAATCGTAGGTGGCTAATCTTGGTTTGTGGAAGATGTCGTGTGCGAATGTGTGTGTGTGTGTGAGAGAAAAAGAGAGAGAGGAACCGGGGGTGGTTAATCTAAGGGGTATTAACTGTTAAACCCTGCATGCTGGGATCCCGCTGCCCCCTCACATTTCGATATATACAAGTGTGTCCACGCGTGTGTGTGTGTGTGTGTGTGTAGGGGGTGGGGGGTGTTTGTCCACAGGCAGATTTCCATGCATGGTTCGGTTGTCTGAGCAAGCGAGCCGCAAGTCGCAGCTTGAAAGGACGACTGAGAATTAAAAAGAGATACAAAGAAAACGAGGAGACAGAGATAAAAGCAGGAAGAGAGCGATTAGAAGAAGAGAGAGAAAGAGAGAGAGAGAGGTGGGGAAGAAATGGAAAAATAAAAGACGGACAATGACGGAGTGATAGAGAGAGAGGGAAAGACAGAGGGAGGTTATGTTAGGGGAACTGCCATTTCACTGGCGTGTTGTGCTGGATGGGAAGCCCCGTCATTGGGTGTCTCCATAGCAACCCCTAGTGATGTTACCTCCTGACCCACTGATTTAGTGAAGTCAATTTCCCTAGATGTGATTCTGTTTGTCAGCGGCTATTGGAAAAACACACTCGTTCGCACGTCGACATGATCAAATTCAGACGCGCGCGCCCACACACACACACACACACACACCCACACGCACACACACGCACGGCGCGCAATCATCGTCGGTTTTCCCCCGAATCCTCTCCACAACTTCAGAGGGCACGGAGCACTTAGTTGAGTTGCGCGAAAGTCGTTTGAGTTTAATTCATGTCAAACGACCACAGACGCACGGTGGGCTCGTCCGTGTTTATGTCGCCCCGGCAGAGGAGGGTTTAAAAGATGGTGCCGCTGTGCCCCGTCACATGGCACAGCGGCACAATGCCGGCGCGCGCCGGTGCACTGGGCTCCTTCATCGTCATGTGCTTCATCACACAGCATCTGCTTGCACACTGGCGTAACTCTCTCCTCTTGCTCTTTTCTCTCACGCGCCGCGGATGTGTTAACACACATGTCTCCGTGCATTATTGATGAGCGAGCACGTGGTGGGGCTCGGCGAGATTAAATAAAAATGCTAAAGGCCGGCAAGGGGCCGCAGATCACTCATGAATTATTGGCAGAAGTACGCTGCACCAGGGAATCTCAATTTGAATGGAGAGAGATTCATGCAGAGTAGAAAGAGACTTGAAACGGAGGAAGGCCCGAATGGATGAGGAAAGTTACACTTGGTGCACAGGGGCACAAATAACCTTAGACCTCTGAACACATACAAGATCTAATTGATTTCTTATTATTATGTAACAAGATTTTGAGCTTTCCTGTGAGATGATGAATGTGGCATCAATGAAAAATCCTTAATGATGAGAAGAACATACTTAGAGATGCTTCAAGGTCTTTGAGCAGAAGATTACAATATCATCAGCATACAGGTGGACTTATACACCCCTTAGTGAGTTGCATTGAGCCTGAAGTTCTTACCTGTCAGATGCGAATAAACTTGCAAAAGTATTCACGTCTATCAGCTTCGAGTCAGGAGACAAAAACGGGGGGAAGTAATTTATTCTGACCGACTGTGAAGGTAAAAACAGAGAAAACAAACGTTTTTCCAAATAATTTTCTTATACAGTTTGAAGTTTATGAAACTTTAACAAATCCTGCAGGTCTGTGACTTTGCCTGGCAACTTTGTTGTTGAAACGTTTTCGTTTTTCATTCGGTGAAGTTACATGGTGGGTCGAGAGTCCAGAAATGTCTCTCAAGAGAAAGTAGCGATGCCTCACGGCAAAATCACTCGATTAAAAGTACATTTTTCTCCAAAACGTGCCCTAGGAAATGTAACCGAGGTGATGTCGGTGGCTACTACCCACCTCTGGCCATTGATCGCGCCTCAGCGGGAAGAAAAGTCTTCATCGCAGCGAACCACGAGCAGCACATGCTCATGAAGATAAGCCAACGTGAGAATGTGCACATTTGTTATGAAGATAAAACCAATGCTGACCTGCTCAGACTCAGGCGTATCTGCACGCGTATCTCTCTGCAGCCACTTTATCAAAGTGTTTTAGAACAACACAACACAATTACGCAGCACTAAATACAGGCTGCAGCTAAAAGCTCGATGCGCATCATATAAAACGTCTCTCTGTGGCAGCAGTCAGTATCTCTGCGCTAAGTTCTCCTAACGCTCCGGTGATGTAAAAATCGATGAGCAGGTCATCAGGTTTCCCTTGTTGGCTGCCCCTCTCCTTCCTGCCTGCAATTTAATAATACCCCTTTAAAGGCAGTGTTTAAGCCCCGCCGAGCAATTGTTTTGTCAATAAGACCTCCTTTTACGAACGTCTTAAAAGCCTGGACAGAAAGAGAGAGAGAGAGAGTTTGGAGGAGAGTATTCAGAGGGAGCTGGCT